GTCACATAAGTCGTAAATTAACTGATGGTCAATTTCAAAATCGTCAAGGTCATCTTTCTCAAGCCAAATTTTGTTTTTTTAATTCGAGGTTGTAGCCGATACTGCGCAGCCGTCGAGCTTCAGGGAAGTCACGAGTTGCATGTCTTAGAACAGCATCGAGTGCTAGGTGGAGTGCATTCACTTCTTCAATAAAGTCAGCCATATTGGTGTTTCTTTAAATGAGCGTGCGGACGCTGCTGCTAAGGAGACTTTTGATTGATTGTTGCCGCCTGAGGCGGCTAGTTTATTGTGCACCCTATACTCATCCTGTGAGCAGTAAAAGCATTACAGAGGGCACAAAAGGTCTTTATCAGACCTCATCTTAGATTATTACATAAACAATTTCATCTATCCTTCACACCTTATAGTTACAATATGTCAGCTAGATACAGAGAATGTTCTATTTCAAGAGCTATATATTTATAGCTCTTGAAACATATCATATGATAATATGTTCCAAAGTAAGTCATTATACATTAATGGTAGGTCTTATCGCTAATACATGATTGTTTGAGCAATTGAGATATTAGAGTCATTGGGGAGCTGCTGTTTATTATTAGTCTTCGCAATACTCTACTTGATTCTTAATCTCATATGTCGTTTATCTACTGGAAACGAAATATGGATACAGTGCAAGGATTTCAGGTATTGTATCCTTGGTAATTGGCTATTCTCACTTGTCCCATCTTCCGCAAAAGTGTTAATTATCTCCACTTCTGCCCAGTTATTCATTCTCTGTCCGTGCCCGTTGGCAGGATCATTGGTCTTCTGTTACTGGTAACAAACTGCGTGCTCTTAAAGGTAACGTGTCCCCATGGCCTTAAAGATTTGGAAAGCCTTCCTCCTACCACCGTAACCGGTGGTGGGAAACGGCTGTAGCCAGGTTACATATTGGCCATGCAGGTTTAACTCAGGGGCACTTAATGGAGCTCCGCCCTGCTCCTTATTGTCTAAACTGCACTAATTGTCCCTCTTACAGTTGTGCATATCCTTGTTGAATGTCCTGACTTCCAGTTTGCGTGCGTCTTGCATCCCGACCGTCCCTCGATAGAATCCTTGGTGAATCGGATACCTTTGATATCGTTCGCCTTATGCGCTTTTGTTCTCGCATTGGCATCATTATTGATATTTAACGCCTTTTGAATATCCCGCACATTTGATGGTGCTCCATGAGGGGGGGGGGGGGGGTAGAAATAGCCTAAGCTACTTTATTCCTATGAGATGTATTTTCTTGTCTCAACAAACATACTGTGCTTGAAATGGTGCTACATAGATGGTGCTTAGAGTTATGGTGAAACCTCGCTCCCTGGGGCTCGGTCACTGCTACGAGGCACGTAGAGAGAAGCAGCACTACTGTTGTGAAGGTTCATATATATGTGAAGCCCAAAGTAATGTTGTCAAGTACCACACGTGAAGTGCGGCATACTGTTCTCAATCACTATATGTGAACATAAGAATAATGGAAACGGCAAAATGTTTATTAGCTAGATCGAGGTACCTTATTTATATCCACCCATATAGTACATCTTCAAGCATCCTTCTGAAGGTGTATTATTAAATACGAAAGTACTTAAGGAAATTCCTGTTTCAATTCTTCCTTCGTGGTCTGATACTCACATTTTTCATCACGGTTTAATTTTTGTGATTTACACACATTCATATATATGTTTAACCTACGTTTGAAACACTACATCTATTGATCGCACGTCAATTATTATTTTTACTGCACAAATTATTATTATTATTTTAATTAAAAGTAGGTTATTTTTTTTTAAATTGATAATATGTCCCATTAATCAACAGCCACGTTTCCAACCCAGTCCAGTATTCACCCAGATCTTTCCTGAATATAATCTTACCAAATTTATATGTATTGTTCCGAGTTTTAGTTTTTGTTGATATATTTAAAACCTTATTTATAATCTCATCCAATTATGTATTTAAATTACGTCACCCGTTACTCCTCATCTTTCTAGAGTTCGTAATTTTAGTTTTTTCTCTGCATAGAGGAGGCTGCGAATTCCTGGGATTAACTTTGGCATCATCCTGTGTTTGCGTTCAATGAAATTTATGTATAAATCATATAAACACAGATTTGACAAGCAATGAGTTTCCGATAGGACTCTTCATTGACCTGAGAAAGGCCTTTGATACTGTTAATCACAACTACCTCTTACGTAAATGCCATCATTATGGAATCCGAGGTCATGCCCTGGACTATATTCAATCCTATCTTAGTGATAGACACCAACGTGTAGCCATCAATGATATAACCTCTCCCACTCTACCAATAACCGTTGGAGTGCCACAGGGCAGCATCTTGGGACCTCTCCTATTTCTTATAAAAATCAATGATCTGCCTAATGTTACCAACATTCTGAAACCTATATTGTTTGCTGATGATACTACTCTCATCTACTCTAACCCCAACCCACATACACTAAATAATGTTGTTAATAATGAACTAAAAAAAGTCCACTTATGGATGTCAATCAACAAACTAACACTTAGCATAGAAAAGACCTACTATATCTTATCTGGAGGCAAATCAACAAATGCAATTTAGCTTCAGATAGACAATATTAACATTAGTAGTAAAAATGATGGAAAGTTTCTTAGCCTATTCCTAGACATGAGACTCAACTTCAGCACCCACATACAACATATAACTAAGAAAGTCTCTAAAACAGTTGGTATACTCTCCAAAATCAGATATTATGTACCTAACTCTGCTCTCCTCTCACTCTATTATGCACTAATCTATCCCGATCTTAATTATGGTATCTGTGCATGGGGTTCAAACACTGCAAACTACCTCAGGTCCATCATCACCCAGCAAAAATTTCCTATCAGAATAATAACAAATTCTGCTTTCAAACAACACTCAGCCCCCTTGTTTAACTCCTTAAACATGCTAAACATAATCTCACTCCACACATTCTCTTGGTGTCAACTACATTTACAAAACCCTGCTCTTAAATGCAAATCCTGCTCTGAAACTCTCCCTGGACAGATGTAATAAGACCCATTATCACCATACCAGAAATAAATATCTCTTTGATATCCCTAGAATCAAACTTAATCAGTTCAAATACTATGCAAATAAAGGGACCTAGTCTATGAAACTCACTCCCTAATGAATTGAAAAGCTGTCCAACTTTTGCGTCATTCAAATACAAAACCAAAAAATACCTAATTTCATCTTCATAGTTTTGTACCTTGTTGCTTTAAAATTGCACTGTATCTAGTGCTACCCAATCTCCCAATCTTCATGTACCCAATCCAAACAACTTTACCATTGTGATCATTGCTGTCTTCTTATATGTGCTTTCAATTTGCTGTATGGTGCCTGTTAATCTTCGTTTAAATTACTAATCAAGCTGTCAATGCAATCAATCAGAGCTTTAATATACCAATGTGCTTTAATATACCTACTAATCTCTCTCATCTCATTTTTTTTCTTGCTATGTATCTGTTATCATTTTATTAATTCCGCTAGAATTTAACTACCTAAAATTATCTGTTAGATTAAGGACCTGCCCGAAACGCTGCGCGTACTAGTGGCTTTACAAGATTGTAAATACCATGCTATGTATTCTCACAAACCCAATGTACCTTCTTGTATATAAATAAATAAATAAATAAATAAATAAATATATTCAGAAGACTCAAAATTTATATAAAATAGACAAATTGTCAGATGCTCTGAGCCATGAGACAATAATGCTGTGCTTGTGGCAAGACCTTAACTGCTGTTGGTTGTATTCATTTGTATATTCTCACTGCAGAAGAGGCCAACTTAAGTGTGGGCAATTTCAGCAGCTGTCTACTCTCTCGGCTTAGCCTGAAGGATTATGAATGTGGTGCTAAATATATCAACACAAAAAAGAACACGAAACAATGAATACAAAGATAATATTTTTTTATATGAAAAAACTGGACAAATACTGGTTTGGAAAAAAGGGTTGTTGATTTATATAAAACTTTGCCAGGTAATTATAAACGTTGGGTTGCTGTTGTATTTCAAACATGGGTTAGACAAATACATGAGAGGTTGGATATAAATCAAAATTGTTTCATATAGGTCCTTAGACTTTCTGCAGATTTTCCTATTCTTATATTCTGATCATTGAGGTTATTGCTGGTAGAATCCTGCAGGCTAACATAGCCATTACAACCTTGCTGATCGAGCGCTACTTGAAGAAACCTATTCATTTCCCTCCTGAACAGTTGTGAAGGCAATTTTTCATTATTATTTTTTATGGTAGAACAGTTCATTCTTCTCTTCCTAGCGTACCACACTCAAATTATATTTGATTGTATATGTTTTAATTGCCTTTATGCAAGAAGTAAAAGATCTCCATATATTTTCTGTATTTTCACCTAATTTCATGAGCTATCATAAACTTCCATTTTTACGAGTGTCGTCTCTCGAAGCCTTTTTCCTGCTGATTTGAACCTCGTCTGCAAAGAATTACACGAAGTTTGTCTGTATCCGACACAAGGCAATTTAGGGCCTATCACTACGTGGAAACATTTATTACATGATATGTATGCCAAAGTCTGTGTTAAAGTAAAGTATTCGTTCTCATTTTCAACAACTACCTCTAATTTTTGTTATGCGAATAGGAATATCTGTTGACTCTAAACACACGTTGTCCAGAGTTGTTTAATTCGTTATTTTCCATTAAACCTGGTACGTGTATGAATACCTGGTGGGATATGCAGCTCCCAAATTTTGTCACAGTCATTCAGATATCATTTTGCCAAATAGGCTATAATAGCAGCACAGTAAACATATTCCGTAATATAATGGTGTAAACATCCTATAAAATTTGTTCCTCTGTAAACATATTAGATAACAATTTAAGTGTTGCAGCTGGAAATGCAACTGTATCAAATAACGTCAGAATAGACAGTGGAAAGTAAGGAATATATTTCGTGTGATAGACTTATTGGTAACAATGAGCAGATACGCGATCCTTCCCTACTGGCGCACCATAGTGCTGGTGCTCACACCCATCATCTTCAGCTTCCTCCCTCTTTGTTGGGACACTTCGGTAAGTGGTCGACATGTGTTTACTGGAGCAGGTGTAGGGGGTGCTTAGGGTTTGGTGCAGGTGTAGGGGAGTGTTTACGGCTTGGTGCAGGTGTAGGGGGTGCTTAAGGCTTGGTGCAGGTGTAAAGTGACTCTTTATCGTCTTTAAATGCTCTCAATTCTTCAAGACACAACTGTAATATGCTCGTGTCCGAAGCTAGACACAAGTACAACAAAATTATTAATGATGGTAATAGAGTCCATTTCATGTGGTCGCCATCTCATGTGGTCTCCATCTCATGTTGGCCTCCGAATGCATGATAGAGCTGATAAGTTAGCCAAAGAATCTGCCTTTAAAGGAGACGTTGAGTGTAACCTTGGATTGTCTATGAGCATTCTGAGAGCAATAGAAGAACGTCAACAATATCTTGTAGATCTGAGGCAAAGTGAAATTGACACCAGTAATTCCATCTATCATCATACTATCATGCAAGAGGAGCCACACATCTATGGTTCATCCAATAAAATCAGCAGACTTCTAGATGTTACTACTGCTCGGCTTAGACTCGGTTACAGGTATCTCTGGGAATTCTCATTATTTACTGATGTAGACTTGAACAAATGTAAACTGTGTCAACAAAATTATTCGCACACCCTCCGTCACTATGTGATGGAGTGCGAAAAGATACGTGAATTCAGAGACAGTTCTATAACCAATGTTCCAGCAATGTGTAAATATTTCATTCAAAATTATCTGTTACCAGAAATTTTAGCCAAATATCCCCAGTTTGCAAACTGTAGGTAGTAAATAAGTGATTGTAACCTATCCACCGCTGCCCTCTGGATGGGGGGGGGGGCGGTGTGCTGGACAAACAAATCAATTGTGACACTAGCTCTCCACATATATCAGTTGCTTAATTTAGAAACTGTACTTGTGGTCGATCTCGAACCCATTTATGATGTGACGACTTATACTGAATTTTGTAACTTGCTTAGGTAAATGAATTGTGGGGTTCAGTCCCCGAGCCCATTATGTGCCTCTGTAACCCTTTCCACTACCACCCACAAGATGAGGTATGGGATGCATAATAAATGAACTAAACTAAATTTTAAGAAAGGAATTATAGAGATAGTGGAAAAGGTGACTTACGTCTCTATATCTATTACCATACCAGACGACACTGGTATGGTAATAGATATATAGAAATTAATAATACGATACTTGCATTATTAATTTCAGTCATATATTTCTTTGTAAAGTATTTCGATGGCAGCAATGTACTTTCACACTTGTACATGATGGATTGTTATTAAGTAGATATAATATGATATTTATGTTACATGTTACTTTTCCTGCAATTGGCGGTCAAATTATATTTGGTAACACCAAATGAGGAGGCTGCCGCTGGCTGCCTCGCCAAGCTATACCTTGTGAGAGGAAGTTGGTGTGTTGTGGGATCGAACTGCTGTGGCTGCCATTTTGTAACACTAAAGTGTTATGTCTTTTCTGTTTTAGTTCTAAGTACTTGTTTTAGGGTCAGGTATCCAATTATAACAAGTGAAAGAGTATTCAGTGTTTCTATACATATAAATTATTACTAAATAAATTATTACTTTTTTTGTGTTTGTATAAATTATGTGTGTTGCCGAATGATTAATTATGTAACTCAAGCACAGTAATAAGGGAGATGTTCTTCTATAATTAATTAATTAAATAATTAATGGCACTATATTAATAATTCGTTCCTGTAGACTGGACATGAGCAACTTTCTTGCCCGTGGAGATTATTAACTTACACTCTTAGAAATTTCTTGTATAATTTTGCGTCTATTATTTTAATGACTTTGTTATGCTTACCTTGGTATTTTTAATCCACTTTCTTCATATCCTTGCACGATAGACAATTATATATTTTTAATTCACTGCAAACTGGATTAGGGGCTAGGACGGCATTTTGCACTTATTACTGCTTAGGATAACACTTCCACCATAGCAAATGTACACGTGCTTGGTGCAGGTTTTGGTAGTGTACACACAGATTCAAAAGAGATGTACATTCTGCCGTGGCTGTGTTATAACAAATATGTCAATATATGTTATATGTTATAACAATATGTTATAACAAATATGTTATTATGAGCTACCTATATGCTTTAATATAACTACAATTTTTCTCTCATCTTTTATTTTTTTCATGCTATGTAACTGTTATCATTTTTATAAATTTTGCAAGTATTTACCTACTTATAAGTTTCTTAGATTAAGGACTTGCCCGAAACGCTGCGCGTACTAGTGGCTTTACAAGAATGTAATTACTATGCTATGTATCCTCACAATCCCAATGTACCTTCTTGTATATATATATATATATATATATATATATATATATATATATATATATATATATATATATATATATATATATATATATATATATATATATATATATATATATATATATATATATATATATATATATATATATATATATATATATATATATATTTATATATATATATATATATATATATATATATATATATATATAAATAAATAAATAAATAAATATGTCAACATAATAAGTGTTTGGTATTGATGAAGTGGACACGAGCGGCGTTGATGCCCTGATCACAATGATCTATGCAGTAATGTTGGCTTGGCAGCTAATCCTTATAATTATATCATCTGATCACTGTGATATTGCTGCGATGGTGAGGGTTAACGTCCGAGCATATAATATTGACCAATTTATGGCTAATAAAAATTCTATGGGGCGTTTAGGGTCAACAAGTTCAACTGGTAGCAAACCCAATATGACAATAACATGAGAGTTGTTGCAAGAAAAACATGAACATTTTTAAATCAGGTCACGAAGCTCCCTCTCTTATTATTATTTACGTCTTTATCGACAAAATATACAATTTTGCCTAATCGGAATAATTCATTTAGGTCTTATTACAGTGAGATGCTGCTCGTATTCACTGCCACTAAGGACAGAGGATCATACACACGACAATGGATCTAAAATGGAGATTGAACAACATATTTAATTTATGGGGTTACAATGTACAGCATTAGATGGTTTCGATTTACAAATTTGAAATACATCCACTCAAGGCAGGGATGGATTCGTAGGATATGCAGCTAAAAAATATATTAATTCTTTAATATGAACAAACGAATCTAGGATAAATTGTTAGGTCTTCCAGTATACCAGATCCAATCAAATAGGTACATAGTTGATTGTACAACAGGCCAAGAGGTCTAAAATCTGTTACAGTTTCACATTCAGTAATGTAGATGATGATTGTGAATGATTTGTTCACTTGATTCAATCAAGTGAATGATTGAATGGTTTATCACAAAGATTCCAACCTGAATATTGTGATAGTGAGTCGAAGCCTCACTAACCTGTCAGAGGTGCCTAGAATTACAGGTGAATTATAGCAACGACGTCTGGTCGTTGATTACCCATTATTACTAAAGTTGTCATAGCTTTTAATGCTGCAACCTTCAGGTCTTTGGTCATTTCTTAGTTCTTCTAATTCTGAAGTAAACTTTTTAATTTGTATGGGTTTAATAATTGCATTAGTTCAAAGTCATAGGCTGTGTTTTTTTATCTGCTGCTGATGTTGTTTCTTCTGGTACTGTTGTTGTTGTTTCTTCTGTTACTGTTGTTGTTTCTTCTGTTACTGTTGTTGTTGTTTCTTCTGTTACTGTTGTTGTTGTTGTTTCTTCTGTTACTGCTGTTGTTGTTTCTTGTTACTGTTGTTATTGTTTCTTCTGTTATTGTTGTTGTTGTTTCTTCTGTTACTACTGTTGTTGCTTCTACTATTACTACTGTTGTTGCTTCTACTGTTACTGCTGTTGTTGCTTCTACTGTTACTGCTGTTGTTGTTTCTACTGTTTCTGCTGTTGTTGCTTCTACTGTTACTGTTGTTGTTGTTTCTACTGTTACTGCTGTTGTTGCTTCTACTGTTACTGCTGTTGTTGCTTCTACTGTTACTGCTGTTGTTGCTTCTACAGTTACTGCTGTTGTTGCTTCTACTGTTACTGCTGTTGTTGCTTCTACTGTTACTGCTGTTGTTGCCTCTTCTCCCAAGTCGTTATATGGGAGATAACCGGAGGCGCGGTGTGTTGCAGGCGGCGAGATGCGGGTACGTCATTGTGATAATGGCGGTGTACTGGATGACGGAGGCCTTGCCGCTGGCCATCACCGCTCTCATCCCCGTCTTCGCCTTCCCCTTGCTTGGTGTCATCTCCACCGGCGACATCTGCATCGTCTACATGAAGGAGACCAACATAATGTTCCTGGGCGGTCTCACAGTCGCCATCGCCGTCGAGCACTGTAATTTGCACAGACGAATCGCGCTAAGAGCCATCCTTCTCTTTGGTAAGTCAGTTCTCGTGGACGGAGTGAAAGGATTGGGGTTGGGGAGGTCTGTAAGCTTCGAGTGGTTGGTTGCCCATCTGTTGTTAACCTATCACTGACTATAAGAGTGACTTCTAGCACTATATGTTCGAGTCTTGGCCATTTATACTTGGCACGCTTATTACCGTCCTCAACATAAAAGATTTCAGCATTTTCTTTAAGTTGTGGATGGAATTAGCTTCGACTATCTTTACTTTGAATGCATTCCACTTGCCAACCCTCCGTACAGTGTACGAGAATTTTCTTGCATCTGTACGACTTTATTTATTTATTTATATACAAGAAGGTACATTGGGACTCAATTGGGTGTCCAGCTCCTACGGATTTTTTTTTTTGCAGGGATATTCCTGCGCGGGCCCTAAGCCTCTGGTTGGCCCACTAAGTGTTGCTTGTTTCTGTTTTACTTGGGCGGAGTATGAGTATTTATGACTCGTATGGTCGCTTCAGTAAGATTTTGCCATATGTGTTTAACAACTTCTTCTGCTCTGTTGAATCTAAGTTGAAATCTTAATGAGTTTGTAACTGTGCACTATGTTAGATAATGTTCCAGTGATCTGTCAGGCATTTCTCCACAGTGCTGACATTTCCTCTCATCTTCCGGAACCTGTAAGCCTATTTCCCATGCACATCGGTATCCAAGCCTGTTGCGATGTAAGTGTACTGTTGTTGCTCTACTGCTCCCTTTCATCAAACTAAGTGGTTCGTAGGTGGTTGAATTCTTGTACCAACCCGCAGATCCTGATGTTGCAACCGCTGTGTTGTGGTCACTGTACATCTTTTGCATTGCTCTGTTTCTAATTACTTTCTTAATCAGTGATAGACTCTGTTGTATGTAAATGTCTACATTTCTTCTCTTAGTTGCAAGTTTTGCAGCTTCGCTTGCAATGTCATTTCCTATTATTCCCACATGACTTGGCACCCAATTGATAAGCACCCGTCGGCCTTGTCGTTTGAGTGTTTGCATTATTGAGATGACATTTGTGATCAGATGTATGTTATCACATATGTGTTCTTGTTGCAAGGTTTCAATGGCGGGTCTCGAATCTGTATGTATGATAACATGTTGTCGGTGTTCAGCAAGAGCATGTTCCAAAGCCTTTTAAATGGCTAGCATCTCTGTTTGTAAAGTCGAACACCCATTTGAAAGTCTCCAACTATTTACAGTTTCCTGCTTTAACTGCAGCTCCTGTTTCTTGTCCCTGCTGGTCTACTGATCCATCTGTGAAGTAAGTGAAGCTGTCGGATGCCAAGTTTGCTTCTATATGCATCTGTGCAATGTTACGTAGCAGATAAGGATTTGTCTGGTTCTTTTTTCCTTCAAGAACCATAATCTTAAAGTCTGCTGGCGGAGATTCCCATAACAAAGTCTTCATGTATTTCGTCGACACCCTTCTCAGTGACTGTGTTTGTTATATCGAATGTATTGATGGTGTTTATCGTACAATGGGTCCACCTGTTGCTATTGGAGGCTCTTCTATCAAAGAGTTAGTGTTCCAGTGATTATATCGTTAAGTGAACTGATTCTAGGTCTAGTCAATATCTTGGTCAGCATGCACGCAGCAATCCCTTTTACCCTTATTTCAATTGACGTTAGCTTCGATTCTAGTCTTAGGTTCAGTATTTTAGTCCATCTGGGAGCTCCTGTTATATAACCTCAACGTTTGCCCACTGACCAGGAGAAAGAGTAAGTAAGGCAGGCGCTGCATAATCAACTATGGAACGAACGGCGTGTATGTAAAACATTCTTAACACTGTGTGTCCCGCTCCTAGACGGGGCCCTGTGATTGCTCTCATTATATTTAGTCGTGATTTTGCTTTCTCCTTCAGATATTGAATTTACTTGTTGAATGTCATTTTAGAATCTATCCACACTCCGAGATATTGATATTGTGTAACCCACTGAAGGTTAATGTCTTGAATGCGTAGGTGCCTGTCTGGAGTGTTGCCGCCCAGTCTCATTGTCTTAGACTTCTGTGCAGATATTTTTAGCCCTAAAATGCTGCAATCAGATGTTACTTTATCTAACGCCTCTTGTGCTTTATTTAGAAGTGAAGGACCTGTAATGACTAATGCTATATCATCAGCATAGTTTAGCAATTTAACCCCTTCTGTAAATGTCATGGTAACAAGGTTTTCCATAAGGATGTTAATAAGACTAGGACTGAGGACTCCTCCTTGTGGAGCCCCATTCTCATGCAAGTGGTAGTCCGTCACATGTCCTTGCAACTTTACTCTGGCATACCTGTGACTTAGGTAATCTTGAATCCATGCTACCATATTTCCCTTTACACCTTTTTTTAACTAAGGTGTGTAAAATTGCTTGCGGGCTTGCAAGATCGAATGCTTTTTCTAGATCAAGGAAGATCACTATAGCTGGACCTGAGTTAACTGTTCCTAGTAATGTTGCTATGCAGTTGGCAGTACCTACTCCTCTAGTGAAGCCAAATATGTATTAATGCAGGTCTCCAGTCTTCCATAGTAGCCTATTTAATGATATTAATGAATGCATGATGTTAATGAATTGGGTCTGTAATTGCCAGGTTCTTTCGGCCTAGGAATCGGTACGATGTCTGCTTTCCTCCAAGAGGTCGGTAGTTTGCCTTGCTGCCAAGATGCAGTGATGACGTCCACTATTCCTTGTTCTCCAGCAGGACCTTCATGTGCGATCATTGAGTATGTAATGTTATAAGCACCTGCGGATGTCCTACCTCCTTTAAATTTGCATAGTCCTCCTTTATCCACATTGTCTCTTCCCCTCAGGATATTGTATGTAGTGATCATGTTCCCTCTGTTTCTTCTCTCAATTCTAATACTAGTCTAGTTGTAAACCTCCAAACTTTCTCAAGTTTATTTTCATACTTTACTGGATGCGGGTTCCGTGTTGACGCTGAATTCTCAAGTGATGGTCTCAAATAGGCAGTGTGTATGGACTTGCAATCATTGTTGTTTACCTTCTTAAATGATGTTCATATGCTTACTAACTTCCCAAATGCTGGGGAATGTTATTCTGCTCACATGATCATCTGGTGTGTCGGGGTTATGTCTGTCACCAGGTCTTTCTCTGTAATTGTTTCGTGTTGTAATATTCCAATATGGTGTAGTTCTCTATGCCTCCCTACATATTTTCATTACATTTATTTGAACTGAATATCAGCTGTTACTTTCCTCCTGCTTTGTTTATCCTTTCAATTCATGCTACCTAGTATCCTCTTGGAAATATTGCTTGGAAATATCTCTATTGTGTCTCTGTAACTGCGATGATGTGAGGCTGCAGCCCATCCTCCTCAAAGGAAAGTACTTATAGTAACTACATGGTCGAAAGTACCAACACGAAGTGATGGTTCGCCAAAAAGTTGACTTTTGTATAATTGAATTTTGACCAACCGGAAACATTGTTAACTGCGAGATGGTTTGAACTTCTTTTATTCCTGGTATATTTATTTCACTTTTCACAGTCTTGCAAACTTGCCTTTGCTTTGTAGGACCTTGATCAGGCTCAAGACTATTTTGACATTTTGTGGGATAATTTGAAGTAAGTTAAGCCAGCATGACTATTTACAATTATATAGTCATACTGGTTTACCGCTATCTCCATATAATTATTTGATTGTTCCCATCCTAATTCCCCAACCATATGACACAGCGAATATAAGCGTTATTGAACCAAACTGGTTGGATCGCCTTATCCCAACACTTATTGAACATAAACAGTTAAGTGCTTATGTGAATCACTTTTAAACTGATTTATGTACATATATACCAAGAGTATGTCAAGTGGATACTTAGTACAAGATAATAATATGATGTATTTCAAATACTTGAATGGTATTTCAGGTCAATCACCGCGGAGGCTAATGGCGGGGTTCATGTTGACAACAATGTTCTTGTCCATGTGGATCTCCAACACGGCCACCACAGCCATGATGGTGCCCATAGTGGACGCCATCTTGTCAGAGCTGTATGTGGTAAGTCTGTGAGGACAGTTGTCCGGTGGTGAGCTGTGTACGGATGGATATCCGGAGTTGTTGCTATGGAACCTTCATATTCCACTCAGTTGTAGCTGAATGTCATGTAGTTGGCTTGTGAATTATATATATATATATATATATATATATATATATATATATATATATATATATATATATATATATATATATATATAAACTTCAACTCAAGAAAATGCATAACGTCATGGGATTATTAAAGAACACATATCTGTCTCTCTCACTCTCTCTCTCTTAAAAAATAATATAATTACCTACCACTGGCGTGTGGGTAGTACGACAGTGGAAGAAGCCTATTGGTATGAAATATTAAAAAATAAAACATATATCCTACTGCTTTGAGAAAGGGGAGGGGTTTTTGAGAAAGCCTTTGAAGTACTTGGATCGTCTGTTGTATGCTACTACGGTACAAATTGGATAGAATATTTATCTTTTTCCCCGAAATCAGTGAATAATGAATGTATAGTGAATAATGGTGTGTATTCTAAGATTTTATTATTTTAGTTTCCAAAATATTTAGTTAGGTGTAGTCGGCTGGCAGTGCTAAAAATCGTCTTGGGGGGGGGGGGGTGTTAGAATATGACCCTGTAACATTGTTCCCTGTTAAATTCTGGCGGCCCCGACCAGTTAATGTCCGTCCTGTACCCCAAACCACTCCCCCTGCAAATTTAGGTGGAGGTAGGAAGAATATGAAAATGTTTATGGTGATGAAAGTGGGCAGTGAAAATTATTATAGTGATTGGGGAAGATATGGAGGATGAGTATGCGGGAGATTTGTGAGGATATGTGTGGGAAGATGTGCGTGGGAAGGGTATGCTGTAAGGGAACAGGATCTAAACTCGTATCCTAGTCTCGTGTAGAGGCAAGAGCTTGCTCGTTCAGCCTTCAAGTATACAGGAATAGTTACTCTTTATAAAACTGTCGAGGCCTCCTCGGAGGTACCACTCATTGCACTCAGAATAACACATAGAAATTTCAGATATGTTTAGTGAGACATAACTTGACGAGAGAACTCGTACTTCTCCATGTTAGAATAATATTTAACACACAAAGAACAGGTATCGCTGGAAATTATAATATTTTTATTTAAGAGCCTTGAGATTTAATTTGATCACAAGTTTTTATTTTCGTAATTGACTTTATGGAACATACAAGACTTAATTGTTGTTAAAAGTTGAAAGTTGTTCTGTGCTGGCTAAAACCCAGGAATTAAACTGTAATTTCCACACCAAAATGGGCACTTGACTGAATCTCTTCAACTGCCACACGAACACTACCAAGAGGACTGTAATACTAGCAAGCGAATTAGCAATTAATAAGATGCTTTACAGTTGATAGAATTTCTCGCAGATCTTTGTACTATCAGAAACATATCACCCAGAAGGCGATAATCTCGACTCGGTGCCAGTCACCACAAGGATTGATATAGACAACCTTGGTTCCCATCACTGTCTTCCAGCACTGAACATTGCCCTTTGTTCCACAGGGCCAAAGTGACGAAGATGAAAGCACCCAGTTAATTGAGGTTCGTAGTGTCCATCCTTGCCGGAGTTGTGAACAGCACCTAGTTCCTGCTGGCGGGGAACGACAGGTCTCAAGGTAAGGTTCCTGCTGGTGGGGAACGACAGGTCTCCAGGTAAGGTTCCTGCTGGTGGGGAACGACAGGTCTCCAGGTAAGGTTCCTGCTGGTGGGGAATGGCTTTCCCCGCCAACGTCATCAACGTTGACTCGACGTTAAATCTGGGTTATAGACGTTAATCAAACCCACATTTCAGACTAAATAAAAGTCGATGGTTGTCGTAATAGGAGCCGGTCCTACATAAAAAAGGGCTTGACCACGACCATTCTAAAATACTCGCAAATCATTTACAATTCACTATGGAAAGTTGCACGAGGCTATAACAGCATTCATCAGGCTTCCATCCTCAAACAGATATTGTCTTTTAATAGATACAGATAGAAAGATTAATTTTTCTCCACTTTTGTTGTATACCTATATTTTATTTACCTGAATATATGATACTCAGGTAAATATATACTATATTTTAATATATGAATATTGCAAATGTGGCTCATTACACTTTAGATTTAATAAGATAAATGGAGTCGCTAACAAACTAATCGCTGATAATGTTCTGAAAGTGTTCATCTTGACAGCGAGTGCAAGAATAGCAACTTGGAGCAAGTGAGTGTGAAGAAGGTGGATATGACGTCTAAGGACGCGGACAACACTGGCCTGACCACCTTACCTCCCAACGAGTCGTGTCGCGCCCTCAGGGACATGTGCTTCTTGGCTACCGCCTACTCTGCCAACCTGGGTGGCACTGGCTCCCTCACAGGCACCGGGCCCAACCTGGTCATAAAGGGCGTCCTTGAAAGGTTTCTAAAATTTATTTGTCGCAAAAATAAAATGACCAATTAGGAAAACTCTGGATACAAATTTATTAATTAATTGTTTTTTTTATTATATTGCAAAACATTATGCACAGGTAAAAAAAAATTATTAATTTTATTCATCACAGTTTACCAGTGAAGAAATGTTGATTACATTATGGTAAATACCCGTTCACTGTCCTAATCCATGCTGTATTGTGGGATGTGTGTTGAGGGATGTTTAGTGTGTATAATAAGTTAGTAGATTTCTCTCAAACGTATTGGCAGCGGAAGTAGGTTTATATGAGCGTGTTGAATGAATTTGGGTGAGTTTGGTTGTTGACGGACATCTGAACGCCAGATGTCAGGTATAAGAATGTGTCGCCGGTCAAGGGTTATCTAGGAGGCTACCTTAAGAACGAGACGAGACGGGATTCCAGAAAGGTTTCCGGGTGGTGACCGGAAGCGACAGTTTGGGACGGTCTGTGACGCGGATAAAAGCTGGTGTGTGTGTAGACGCATGGACGCAGAAGACATGTAACAGGATGTGGTTTGAGAAGTTGAATAAATAATGACTCAAACAAGTAGCGGGGTCAGTGCTGATTAGGACATCAGACGAGACGCAGGTCCAGAAGTGGTCTCAGCCAGTAATATAGGTATAACATTTGTTGGCATACGTTGAGGTGCCGCTAAGGAGTATATGTTCCCATATGTTATCGTTATTTATCATCCTTGTTCTTGTTTTTTTAGTGGAATGATGATATGCTGACCCAAGCACAGGGTCGACCCGTGTACCTGAGCCATCCGGGCACCGTTGGGAACACCATCTAGTAAATTGTCTATAAACAAAAACATGCAAAGATTTCAATTTCTTATTTGCTATGTCCCTCTTTGCTGATTCTGCTTTATATATAAATGAATTAAAAGGAAAGTTTATCTAAATCAGTATATTGAACTTGTTCATTAAACCTGTAAAAAGTAAGGACAGCCCAAATAAATTGTTAAATTGATATAGAAGGGAAGGTAAAGTTAAATCCTAAAGGGTTCGTTTAATTAAGTTAACTAAGAGAAAAAGATAATAAGTAAGCGATTTAAATAAGTTAACTAAGAGAAAGAGAAAAGAAAGTATATCAAAGATTTGAGAGAAGATTGAACCTTTGAAAATGAAACAGATTCAGATAACCGATTGTGACCTTGAAATATGTGCTTTGTTTATGCATTTATTGAAGAATGTGATAATTTACCTGGTGAAATGGAAACTTTGACATGATTATTGGTTACCAGAAAGTACATTGTTAAATAAATAGAAATGAAAAGATAGGTTTTGTCAACACTTGTCTCGCATATTATATAAACAATTTGAGTCTAGCAGAGTAATGGAATCTTGAAAAGTTGCAAATGTGTTATAGTTTTTGAAGAGGATAAACCAGTTGCTGCGGTAGATTGGTATTTTCAACACACATGCCCTCAGGAGGGCATTGTAAATGAACGCAATTGCTTAACCCACTCTGCAGGCGAATGACCATTAAAGGTGGCCTCTTTTACATGAAATCGGTAGGCGTAGCGATTTATGTTAAAGACCTGTCATGTGTGACTCAGCCTATAAGCCTGAGAAGACTGAATTCCAGCTGCCCCTGGTACTGATGATGTTTGAAGCAAGATATACATTCTGTGCTCCTTGAGCCACCCGAGGGTGACCTGCGGCCGAGCACAGCACTGATATATCATATATGCTTATGTCTACGGTGATGGCATATCTATGAGAACACTTAGACCTATGGTGGTCATTTTTTCTGCCCCGCATAGTTCCCGCCTAAATGCAGTAAGAAGCAAGTCGTCCATGGTATGGGAGGAAAGTGCAAGGTACTTACATTCAAGTAGGTTGTGCTTTGACTTTTAGGCTTAGGCACACAATACATACATATATGGTTAACTTGGCACCAGCTTGTGCCTTTTCAAGTGCTAGTGGCTTTGCAAGAATATAATGCTTAAACTCCAGTGTTATGTACTCTCACAACCCAATGTACCTTGTATATAAATAAACAAAATAAAATAAAATTAAAATATAATTTACAAAGGGATTTGAATCCCTGGTCTTCCCAGTGGGAAGTTGAATAATCATCCACTCTGCCAAGAGATCTCTCATTAACAATATGGCAGCTTGGGGCCCCCTAGACTCGGCGGGCCCTGGGCAACTACGTAGTGTGCCCTTAGTTTAAGATCACATTCAAATAAGTGATATGCTCGAACTCACCATTCAAGGAATTCTGTTGTGGTACAGTCTACGTAACACTCTTCTTCTCGCTGTCAAGAGTCATACTCTTACTTTTTCAAACATGTAAGACGGTCCAGTGAATCTTTTAGTAAATATTAGAAGTCTACGAGATGCATAATTTTGAATTATCTAGCATTTTGGAAGATTTGAATGCGGTAGCCTAGGCAACTATATTTCAAATATGGTGGCAGGTAATGTCGTTGACACATTTAATATCATAGCGCCTCTTTTAATACTGCAACAAATCTGAACTAGTTGAGCAAATTATCAGATTATTAAAATATTAGTAATGTGAAGGTAGTGAGCTATATAGCAGTATAAAATGCTTGACCTGTAACTAACGCTACCTCCAACAGCATCTACAGCGAGCCGACTGGTCTTAACTTTCTCTCGTGGATGTTATTCAACGTTCCCGGCATGCTGCTCTGTGTTGTCTTGGCCTGGCTGTGGCTGCAGCTCTACTTCTCGGGATTGTTGTGGTAAGTAATGGGGGTGTCTATAAATGTTAATATTTCTTTAAAGTATTTAACTTAGGCCGACCTCGACCCCATATCGAATTGGGCATCAGGTCAACTCGGGCACCGGATCAACTCGGGCACCGGACAACTCCGGCACTAGGTCCACCCATCCACTCGGGCACTAGCCCCATCTATGCACTGGCCACATTCGCTAAGTAGTGCTGGGTACCCCCCTCTAATGATATTTATACATATCAGTACTTCAACTAGCAAGCTAAGCTGCATTGAAACATTTTATTAATACAGACAAAAAATATTAAAAATATTAATGGTAAAACCAGAAAATAAAAAATATATATTATTTTTCAGTGGCCAAAGGAAGAAAATTATCCAAAATCCATCAGCGGAGCGACAGAAGGCAGTGAAGCAGCTGATATTAGCCAAGTACCGCGAGCTGGGACTCATCACCTTCCAGGAGGTTGTAGTGCTGACCCTCTTCATCATTCTTGTTCTGCTGTGGCTCTTCAGGGCTCCAGAGTTCATCCCTGGATGGGCAAAGTGGTTTAAAGATGCTTTTGGAGTGTAAGTTAACAAAAATTTCAACATTTTTATTAATTAGTAGCATTATTCTGTACTTTTTATATAAAATTAGGTTCTAAATTTCACAAAAAATCATTCAGATGGTTCTCCTGAGTCTGGACCAGGGCACTTGTTAGGCTTCTTGAGATCTCTCAACCAAGAACTGACATCTTCCCATGGTGCTAACATCATGGAAAATCTCTGATCCTGCTGTCCTGCACATCCTTATCAGACACCTCAAAGGCCTAGACATCAACCCCAGCACAAGGGAGTCGCCTTCTTAGGACCGCTCAACTTGGCGAAGTACAGTCATCACGGTAGAGAATAGACAGACTGCAGAGGCCCAGAGGAAACGCACTGCGGGGAAAGCTAAAGCAAGCTCCACCACTACAGCAGCACCCACTCACATATGTCCTATGTGATGGCGAGCCTTCTGGGCCCAGATGGGTCTCATCATTCATCTTCTGACACACAGCCACGAATCTTCGACCTGGTATTGAAGTCATGGTCATTTTCAACTCCGATAGACGACCATCATCATCTGACACTACTGTCCAGCACATTATGATAACGCTTCTGAAACTGAAACATGTGTGGCTGTTATTGTTGCTCGTCAACACCGCTGGCTCTGTTAGTGTTATGAGGCATTCAGTTAAATTGTTATATTTGTCTCAAAGAATACGCTAATAGTTGATAGGTGCTTCAAGGCTTATATCCTGAGTACTTTCATAATTTATAAAGTCAATTTTTAAAAGTAGCGATAAGAGTGGGATATAGAAATTCAGGTGTTGTATTTATTAAAGAAAAATACTTTAGCTCGATAATCAGGGAAGCTAAATGCTTTGCATTTAGTTTTGAAAACTAGTTTTGTTTCTTTGTAATATCAATAAACACGGGAGCGGAGGGCTTGAAGTTATTCTTTCTCGGACACAGACCTGTATACAGTACCAGGGTGTGGAGGGTGAAGAAAGTTGCTCACAGTTATTTGTCCAGTGTTGGTGAGGAAGAGTGGTGACTGGATTGTATGGTAATAGACGTTCCAGGGAAGGTATCGTTGTATCACTACCATTCCCCAGGTCTTACTACAATGATAAATATTGTACCGTCGCCTGTTTCACGTGACGTAAATTAACAAAAAGTAACACCTTTCTTCTGTATTTATGATAGTAGCTGTTCTCAGATGTGAGAAACTTTGGGAACCAAAATCACAAGTGCCAGAAACATGAGAGTTTGGCAAACTATTTGCAAGAAAAGTCACCCCTCCTACAATATTTATGCTTCCCTGATTATGTGTAAACAAGTATGGGCAGAGGTTTGTGTCAGGAATCTTCTACTAGAAGACCCTTCAGTTAATTAACAACAAGACAGGATAACTCCTTGGACAACGTACAGGCACGTGGGAATTACTGCAAAGCTATCAAGCAGTCACTGAAACATAACAATCACTCGCCGTACATATTTTCAGACATGAAGACGTATTTATTTAGGTGATAGATTTGCGACCTGTTTTGGGTTTGGGTAAAAAGTTGCAAACGATGTTGTCCCAATATATTTCTCATTACTTGTAAACTATTTTTGGCTACAAATTGTAAGTTTAGTATTTGTAGTTGACATCCTCCCATATTTGACAAGGATGAGAGGATCATTTAGATAACACAGCCATAGAGTACAAGAAAGTTCAGGAAGGAAACCTGTATAAAATTTAGGTAGAATAAGGAAATCGAGAAATATTTTCTTAATAAAACGTTTGACTGGAATAATTTTTTTTATGAATCATTAAACATTATTTTTTAATTAGTAATTACAGAAAATATTTTTTTTAATTTAATGAAAATTTATATTTACTATTTAGGTAATTATTAATTATTTGCAGGAAAATGAATGATGCAACTCCTGCAATATTAATAGTAGTGCTGCTGTTTATTCTCCCAGCCAAGCTCAACTTCTGGTGCTTCCGGGGACGAGACGGTAGGTCGATATAATTGCTCACCACCTTAATCCTTATTTTGGTTTAAGAACCAGAGTCATCTGCTTATGTATTTAATAAATTTCACTTGGATCTATTTTTTCGCAACTAAATGGCTTCCAGAATTGGAAGATTATTGTAATATGTTTTCTGGGAGAACAAGTGCATTTAAATGTCTGAATATTGATTGAAAATCTGTATAGAAAGATGGCACTATATCCCATGTGTGTGGTTTTAACGTTCAACAACTCTTTTTATGATTGATAAGAATGTACAGTATATGAACAATGTTCTCTTACTTGGTGCCAACTTATTGCACCTTTCTAAAGTATGTGGACTTGGTATTCTTGTACAGAGCCTGAGCCCAAGCGCCTGGACAACAACTCCTGCCTGACGTGGAAAGTTGTGCAGGAGAAGATCCCTTGGGGCGTGGTCCTCCTGCTGGGCGGAGGCTTTGCCATGGCTGAGGGCGCTAAGGTGTCCGGTTTATCCCAGTGGATGGGAGAGTCGCTAAAAGGTTTAAATGGTTTACACAGTGTGTACATCGTGATGATTGTAACTTTCTCAACTGCCATGCTAACAGAAGTTGCCTCCAACACTGCCACAGCTTCTATACTGCTTCCAGTTCTGAATGAGTTGGTAAGTGACTGGAACAACCGATATTAACTTTAAGTTTGCACTGGAATCAAAGCTAAATAACTCTGTTTTGATATTTTGTTGGTAATTATTTTGTATTGAAAAGTATGATAAAGTAGATCCAAGGAATTAGGAACCTTCCTTATGAAGAGAGATTAAAAAGCTTAATTTACATTCCCTAAAATAGCAAAACACAAGAGAGAAAAGCTTATCACGAGATAGATATTAATTGGATTTTAAATATATTAAATAGAATACTACCTTTTTTAAATTAGATAAGTTTAGAATCGGAAAAAATCTTTGTTAAGGACCAGTTGTGGAAGTGTGTTGTAGGCTTATGGATCAAATTACCAGGTAACAGGATAAACGTGGTTCATTAGATTATTTCAAGCATAGGTTAGACATACTGTATATTTGGAGTCCATCCTTGCATTTATTATAATCTCATGACGAGCCTAATATTCATACCTTAACTTGAAGGAAAAATTCACAAACGAATATCCTTTTCTTTAAAGGGAATCACTTAACCAGCAAGCACAATATATTTTTTTGTTTAGGCACTCATTTGCCACTGACCACTCCATCTTTTCCAGATTCATAAACTTAAATGTCAGGAAATACAACTTAAAAATGAGTGATATATATATAATGGTGTAGCAGGTATACAGGATACAATAAAACAACTAGTCAGCAGAGAAAGGAGAGATCCCCCAGCTGAATATTTGGACTTATGAAGGAACTACTGTCACAAGGAGATGGCTTACTGACTGCCATTTTGAGTCCTAATGAAGTCGGATCAATGTTGCCTGAACTATGTGTTGGAGCGATTTTGATCCGGGACAGTCAAACCTTTTAATATACGAGTATGCTAATAAACCCACTTTCGGTATAAACACCACCAGGGGTGAGGAACACCATCTGTTGCCTGGTACAGACATGTTACCGGGTACAGAGTAACCTTCAGTACAGACACCACCAAAGGGGAAGCAAATAACGCATAACACACAGTGACTAGGCTACCCATATACGTATTTACGCATTGATAACTATTTATCAACTGTTATGTTAATTAGGATTAACATGACAGAAGAGGAAAGTGTAAATACTGTGGATGACCAAATTAGCATTCCCTCAATCTCTATTTACTCAACTGCAATAAGTTCCAGCAGCTAAGAAATTTTCAAAATGACACTATCAGTGGTGACAGATGCAGTATTTAATAATATTGGGATTGTTTACAGGCAGTGAACATACACGTAAACCCAATCTATCTAATGCTGCCAGCTTCTGTATGCTGTTCCTATGCTTTCATGCTACCAGTTGCAACTCCTCCTAATGCCATAGTGTTTGAGGCAGCAAACATGAGGACTACGCAGATGGTTAGTTAGTTTTCTTCTCATAATTGTGGCTTCTGGAGAATATCATGTGTTGTATTCTAAATTCTTTGCTTTTTTCACTATATAATATATGAAATACTTGAATGTATATGATTGTGTTGTTAGACTAAATGTGGCATAATGTTCAACAGATGTATGCGGGCATAGTGATGAACATTATCTGCATCATTGTAATCAACGTGATGATCAACACTTTGGGCGTGTACATGTTTGATCTCAACACTATGCCTTCATGGACCAACTCAACAACTTTACTGTAGTGACGGTATTGACCCCATAGTTATAATAGACTCCCTTTATAGTTGTACGTGTTGCAACGGCTCAAGGGATAGGGACCACAAAATTAAGAAAATTATGAAAGAGTCGATAGTCAAAACAGTTGTTCAGAAGGACTTTATAAGTGTAATAAATTTTGATAAATGGTGAATTTAGGTTATTGGTGTATTTTCACAGGGGGTTTATTCCTGTCCTGGACAGTTTTTTAACTAAAATATACTTGCTCTGTCAGCAAGCTATTGTAATGACTTTATTAACCCCTCCTAAGATTGATAAGCCTTCAGCTCAATATTATTTTAGTTATCAGAGATATATACTCACGGGTGTATTATTTGTGCATACATACTACTAACTATGTTCACGTTTAAATTATACTTGCTGGCTGGTCAGCAAGTTAATGTAGCAGCGTTAACAGCCATCTAGAGGTTGATAGGGCTCAAACTCAACACCAAATCAAACTACTTTTCCTAAGGAAATATACACCTAGAGATGTATCCCGGTATGAGAATGGATTTTGCCAGCTGTCTTAATGTGTGCAAAGTGAGTGCGCGGTGGCAGTTGAACTCTCACGAGTGCACAGAGTGTGTGCACAACCGAGTTTTGTTAATTCAAGACTCAGCTATGCCTTGACATGCGCTTTCCTCAGAAAGCACATGTCATCAGAAGGCCAATGATATTGCTTGGGCCGTCGTGTACCTAGCCATTTATTAATTACAACGAGGAGAAGTGATATATCTTAACTAGTTAACTTCAGGAAGCCAGTATCCAGAAACAGAGTCAGGAGGAACTTTTCGAGCTTGCAGTCAAGAGGAGGTCAACATGCCCAACTGACAACGTGACCACTAGGCCCCCAACAATGACGTACGTAGTTATCACGTCACGACCTCTCTCCACTCGGACGGAACTGTCCTGACCGGTGTAGGCCTCAGTGCCCAGTACCTGATTGGGTAATTTCATACATTGAGCAGGAGTGTGGAGGAGAGCCTCGGTGTGTCCTACACAGCCTGCCAGCAGCATTCTGAAACCGTCAGCATTACTAAGACGTGAGGATCTCTATTGCCAGTCACAGCCTAGATTCCCCCGCCTAATCGGAGTTAATTTTTTTTTTTTTTTTTTTTTTTGAGATATATACAAGAGTTGTTACATTCTTGTACAGCCACTAGTACGCGTAGCGTTTCGGGCAGGGAAATTATTATCTCTAAGGTGGGTAGAAATAGAAAATAGAATAGAAGCTACTCAATCCCTTTGAGATGAATTTCTCAATTCGCTGTAGAATCTGGTTCGCAATATTTGTTAATTATTTTTTTATACGAGAGATTTAAGAAGAGAGAGAGAAGAGATTGTGTACACACGTGATCACCGCAAGAAGCAACGAGACTTGCCAGCGTTATATCAGTGATCATCGCAAGCATCCGTGAGTTTAAGATCACGAAAGCGAGTTTAGAGTGAGATACATCGATTCCCTTTTGTTGCTGTTGATTTCTCGGAGTGAGATAACATTATTTTCGGCGATTTGTGGACATATACTGAATGGCTAAGTCGCCAGCCGCGCCACTTTACCACGTGAGCCCAGTCAATGTGTAGTTGCGATCACCGCCGCTTCAGCTTGCATGTCGCGCCACGCGCGCGGCCAGGAATTAGTTGCATCTGTCACCTAGTTCCAACCCTGTGTTACTCGCATGTCACCATGTGCGGTCATTGCTGAAGTATTTCATCGGAGCATCTACAGTTCAACGTTGTATGAATGCAAGGTGTGAGTGACGGGCGGCCTTAAAGTGAGTACAAAATTTTCTCTTGTTCTTAAATCTGTATTTATCTGGTTATCACCCGGTACAGGGAAGAGTTAAACTGGTCGTAGAAGCAATGGGCCAGGTGTCGGTACAGCAGTCTGCGAGATACTGTATCCGTTCACTGTCATTGGTATAAGTGTTATACACACACCCCACAGCTAGTATTTTATACTTTTGTTCATTTGAGTTGTACGGTGTTATTAGTGATATTATATCATTTTTTAGTATTCCTGTGTCAGCGATACAATGCATTTTATATTCTTTCCAGACACCAGTGGATGAGTAAGTCATTGAGTGTTGTGTCTAGGTGACACCTGATATATATATATATATATATATATATATATATATATATATATATATATATATATATATATATATATATATATATATATATATATATATATATATATATATATATATATATATATATATATATATATATATATATATTATATATATATATATATATATATATATATATATATATATATATATATATATATATATATATATATATATATATATATATATATATATATATATATATATATATATATATATATATATATATATATATATATATATATATATATATATATATATATATATATATATATATATATATATATATATATATATATATATATATATATATATATATATATATATATATATATATATATATATATATATATATATATATATATATATATATATATATATATATATATATATATATATATATATATATATATATATATATATATATATATATATATATATATATATATATATATATATATATATATATATATATATATATATATATATATATATATATATATATATATATATATATATATATATATATATATTTAATTAATTAATTGATAATAAACGTAATAATTAACTGATTTGTTGCTGTCCTTAGTGACAAGTGTTAACGTAATTAAGTACTTGATTGAAGATTGTCCAAGTGACAGGTATCTCTTAGTGAGGAGTTATTTTATTGTTATTGTTGTAATACCGTCATTGTTGATTTCCATTGCAAGTGTAGAGTGCAGTTGATTCTGAGTGTTCAGTTAGTTCACTTTCTTACTTTTGCCCATGCAAGAGGGCCCATGCTAGGGGCCAGATTCACGAAGTAGTTACGCAAGTTCTTACGAACGTGTACATCTTTCCTCAATCTTTGACGGCTTTGGTTACATTTATTAAACAGTTTACAAGCATGAAAACTTCCCATTCAACTGTTGTTATTGTTACAAACAGCTTACTGGTGTTTCGATGCTCATTAACTGTTTAAAATAATTTTAAACAAAGCCGCCAAAGATTGAGGAAAGATGGACAGGTTCGTAAGTGCTTGCGTAATTGTTTCGCGAATCTGGCCCTAGGTCTGGTGATTACCAGTCAGAGTGGTGGGTCCGCGTCCTGCTGCAGCTGGTACTGTTTAGCTGTTGGAATGACACTGGAATTCACGTACCGTAACGTTGTTATTATCATGTACTAGTAAGTAACTTAGTTGAATAAATTGTTGTTGCAAACGTGTCTTTTCGTTAACAATCTTTAATGAGTACTGCCCCGTTATTTTGCTCTGCTACAGCTACTTCAGTGTTCTTGAATTTAGCCGGTTTAAGCTTGAGGATCAAGCCCACAGCTTCAAACACTAAATACTAAATTTGGTGTGAGGAGCCATTTGTTATCCTCTAGATTGATTATTCAGTTGAGGAGCTAACGACCCAGTGTCGTGAGGTTCAAGTAGTTAGACCTCGCCGTTTGCTCTCGCCTCCTAAATAACCTGCACATCTGGCACCCCCATCTGGGGCTAAGAGAATGTGAGAATTTTGGTAACCTTCACTATCCCTCTTCAAGTGTATATACTAGGGGGATACCCGGCTGTGCCCGGGTCTCTCCCCTCATTACCATTTTTTACTCCCTCTCTCTCTTCCCATCTCCCCCTATCACCCCTCTCTCTCACCTCTTCCCCCTCTAATCACCTTTTTTCCCTCTCCACCTGTCTCCATATCCTTCCCTCTCTCCTATCATCACCCCTCTTTCCCTTTATTTTCCCCCGTCTCCGCTCTATATCTCAGACTCAAAAAATGTAATACTGTACTGAACCTACCGATATACAAAATAGATGAAAAAATTATATACAATTAGCTTAACACATTCCTTCCTCCGAGTTCTTCATTTATATCACATCTAAGTACAGTACCTGGAATCTATCACTGTTACACATTCTGTTGCCAAGTCAAAGACTTTATTGACACCAACTTTGTAGTTTTCAGTGTCTTCATCAGAAGTAATTTTCATGCTGATTTTTTGTATCGTCTGCAAAAGATAACAAAGCTGTAACTTGTATTTTTGCTTATACAGTATCTGACATGAGAATAAGAAAACAGTGTAAAAACTGTGCCCTGAGGTACACCTTTTCACTTTTATTGGACTTTATTTCATTTTATATATTATTACTCTTTGCATTTTATTTTAACAGAAAATTGAAAATCTACCACTTTACTTCATCTGGTATTCCTATTGATCGTATTTCATGGGCTCAATGTGAAAAACAATTTTTAATTTTTCTTTTTCTCTTGTATAAATTTCTGTTCATATTCCTTTTCTTCAGACTGGTACGGCCACTTAAGCATTTGTTCTATTTCTTCGAGCTCCCTCTTTAGACTTCCTTTCCTTTCTTGTGTCTGCTTAAGTATTTCCGTTATTCTTTTCTTCTGCATTCTCTTTCTAGGATGGTCCTTTTTCTAACCTTTCAAAAAGAATATTAGTGAGAATGTAATTTATTTTATATTTTCAACACGATGTTAAAACTATGTTCTCTGCGCCAATTTTTTTATCTCCATGGGGGCCGACCATGGCACCCATGGTGTGGGTTGGACATTCAATAGACATTCGCCCACCAGTCACCACAATATTGTGTGAGGATAGCCATCTCAGTGAGTGAGAAAGGCAGGCAAACTTTGGTGTCATTCTCGGGTACAACCATGCCCTATCGCAACACGTATTATAATGGTATACAGTAAATTTTAGAAGCCGTATTAAGCTTATTATTTTGAAAATTCAAGAGTTAATTAGGATATACAGAGAGGACTGTAGATCCAAGCTCTTCCCAGGACCCTGATCACATCTCAGGGTGACCCTGGGGACAGTGTATAGCCTCAGGCAGCTCCCAGGACCCTTATTACACCTTATCATAATTAGATGTAATAAGACAGAGCAATTTAGGCTGGGATACTCATCGTAATGCCCAAGCTCCTCTCAGGATCCTGATCACATATCTGGGTAACCAAAGGACAGTTAATGTATGGTTCAAGTTTCTCTTAGACCTTTGTCATATTTCAGGTTAACTGTAGGAGAGTTAGCATATTAGCCAAGAACCACAGGCTCGACTCCCGTATTTATATTACATTTAAATGTGACTGTAGAACAGTCAGCATATGACCCAGGCTTCCATGCAGGTCTCTCATCTAGGCTATTTTTGTTGTTATATTCCCGGCTTTGCCGCAATCATGTTAATCATACGCTCTAGGTTCAGATTTTCTTGTTTTGCAAGAGCACTGCTTAAAATCTTGTGAAATTGAAAACCTCTCTAGATTTTACCTGAAGGCCACTAACCCAACTGGCCTTGACGAGGACAGGTAGCCGGTGGCTTGTCGAAGGTCACCCCCCATTTAATTTGATAGTTCTCTTTTACACTGCCAGCATTGACATGTCTGATGAATGGTCAGGCCCTGGAAGAACGTATGGTGGTAGTGCTATCCTGTGCCATAACATGCAATGTTGAGATCATGTTCAATACTATATCAGGGCGAATTACTACTCCATTTATCTTTAGTGGTGCTCAACAGTATTTGATCGAACACGCACACACAATCGTGTGT